TGTAATTACTTGAAGATGATGAGGGTGAGAGAGTAAATATGTTATTTTCGAAACCAAAAAAAAAAAAAAATTTGATGGCATTTTCGTGAATTATATGAACTTGTGGGGTGAATTGGGCAAAATAAAGTTCCAAAAAAAAGGGAGGTTAGTTTTGTGGTTGACTTCAAGTTTCAGGTCAATTCTGCAAAAAGCCCTAAAATATTTTTATGGATATAAAAGTCATTTTCTCATTATAGATTTAGGGTTTTGAAGAGACTAAATTTTGATAAATTAAATTTTGGAAAGAAAATTATAAATAGTTATGGAATATTTTTAATAAACAAAAACAATATCAAAAATAAAATATTATTCTAAAGTTAATGGATAAAAACTTTTAACATAAATAAAAATCTACTCTACTATTTTTTTTTTTGATATCGACGAACAGACTCTATGGATTCTGCGAATCAAACTGCTAGTTCTGTATCTATATGAATAACGAAAGACGATTGTTTTTTCGTGCTAGAATGTCCGCCCATGAAGTGTTCTTGGTACATAGATGATTGCCGAGCTATAGAAACTCTATTTAAGCGTTTTGATATCTTCCAGATAATTTGCAAAGACTGGTCATTCGCCTACTATACTAATATTGACTAGATTATTATTACATGATTATCTATACAAATTTAGTTTAAAATCATTTGAGTGTAAAGGATTAGGGAAAATTCCATATAAATACCCCAACTAAATTTTATTAAGCTTTTTAATACCCAAACTTTTTCACTACCCAATTTAATACCTCAACTAATAATTTTTCCCACTTTAATATACAAACCTTTATAATTGTGCCCATTTTAATACCCAAACTTTGTTTATTTTAATTAACAATATTAATAAGTTTCGAACAAAAATTTTAAAAATCTCCAAAATCTAAGAAAAAATATTGAAAATTTCTAAGTTTACTCTAAGATTTAAGAAATAATGTAAATAAACTCTGGAGAAAATTTAAATGTTTAAAAAAATAATTTTGAAGGGAAAAAAAATAATTTACTTTTTTATTTCAGAAAACAAACTAAATTCAATATATAAAATTTAAAAAACTTTTTACAAAACTTAAGATTATAAAAAATTTATTTAATTTCATTTCCATAACATATAATAAAATAAATTTTTTTTGTAAATTTTAAAAATTTTATTGGAAATTTATTCGTATTGTTAATTAAAATAAATAAAATTTGGGTATTAAAATGGGCACATTTATAAAAGTTTGTGCATTAAAATGGGTAAAATAATTAGTTAGGGTATTAAACTGGGTAGCGAAAAAGTTTGGGTATTAAAAAACTTAATAAATTTTAGTTGGGGTATTTATATGGAATTTTCCCAAAGGATTAACTTTTGATATTTGAAAAGTTGAACAAAACCAAACTAAATTTTTCATGGGAAATTACCAGAAATAACACTTTCAAGATACCACTTTTCAACTTTACACTAACCAACTTTACCATTAAAATTTTAATACTCAAAATACTATTAAAATTTAAGATTTAGGGTTTTGGGTTTAGGATTGATAGTTTAGGGTTTAGTGTTGATTTTTTAGGGTTTAGGGTTTAGGGTTTACTTTTTAGGGTTTAGAGTTTAGGGTTTAAGGTTTAGAATTGATATTTTAGGGTTTAGGGTTGATTTTTAGGGTTTAGGGTTTACTTTTTAGGGTTTAGAGTTTAGAATTGATGTTTTAGGGTTTAGGGTTAATATTTTATTTAATATTTATTTTATGTATATATATAAAAAATAAGGATATAAGAGTTTTTTATCCTTTAATAAAATGTGTATTTTTGAAAATGTTCCTTTGTTGATGGTAAACATGAAAAGTGGTACCACCAAAGTGGTATAATTGAAATTCTCCCATTTTTCATTTGAAAAAAAAATAGAAATCTGAATTTTAGACCAAATCAATCAGCATTAACCATTATGCGAGACATGAATTAAAGATGCATCACCAAATAAACTGGTCCAGTCGATCAATGAGACTTCAGTCTTGGAATGTAGACCAATAAACAACCAGCTACAGCTACGGGAAAGGACAAATCTGTAAGGATGTCCTTGAAAAGGATCAAACATGTTATGGCATGACCAAGATTTTTAAAAGACATAGAACATCTCACCTAACTTCTAAATAATCTATTTCTTCATTCAGCAAAACAAGTGTGAACCTGCAAAATACATTTTGTTTCATATCATAGATAACTACAACATCATAGAAAAAGTTCTAAAATTTTTAACCAAAAACAATCATGTTTCACCATATGCACCAAAAAAGATAGCCAAAAAAGAATCATTGGCTTCCCTTTCCTTTCCCTCATCCTATGTTCAATCGCCAAAAAGTTTACAGGTAATGGTTCAGCATCTACTTTTTAAAAGGTCTTTTAACCCGCCATGTCATGCTTCTTTTTTTTTTGATGTTTATACAAGAAGCATGAACTTTATGCTAGAATCTGAGCCTTTCCGACTTTGGGATCGTAAACATTGGTAACCAACCCACGCAGCTAGTTATACTAAAGACTTTGTAACCTAAACCATTTATATTCAAACTTCTTGTTTCAAATAATATTTTTGAAAAATTAATTGTTTTTTTTCAAATATAACTTTTCAAAACTCTAAATATATATATTCATGTTGAAGAAAAGACTTTTATACCAGTAAAGCGATTTTTTAATGATATAAAAAGTATTTAAAGAAGAAAACAAGAAGACAGAAATAGCCATTTCCGGACAAACTGGTAGTAATTTAGCTAAACTGCAAATATACAGTTGGTTATGTTGAATCTATGATCAAACAAAGAGAGAGTAAAGATACTTAGACCAACTTCCAGAACATGATCCTAAGAATTTTGAAGAAAGTATCAAACATGTTATGGCATGAACCAAAAGAAAACACGTACATTTAGTAACACAATTCAAAAACCAACCTGCACATATACATTTTGACTAGGTTGATGAATCTGTGATCAACAGTAAATATACTTAGACCAACTTCCAGATACTTTGCTCTTAAGATCATTAGTTAAGATAAGAACATGCTTACATGATACTACAAGGAAAAAAAATCCTCTTTCCTTCCCTCAATTTCTTAGCTTAAAAGTCTGGAAATCTGATGCACGAAGGCAAAGCTCTAGCATCAACTTTTATAAGGTCTTTTAACTCTCCATGTATCTCTCTGGTTACACGCCAAGCAGGAACTTTATTCGAGAATCTGAGCCTTTTCCTCTTTGGGATTGTAAATTCTGGTTCTGACTCATCATCATCTTCCCCGTGATACTTCCTCCCTTTAACTACCCTAAGAAACCTATATTCATCTCTATCTTCATCTTCACACATTGTGTCTTCACCAGGAACGGATTGGAGCTCGAGGAGTAAGACTTTGTAGTCCAAGGCATCATCAAGAATTTCAACAACGTCATACTCATTAAAACCAAATTCCGGATCCTCAATATCAAGGTCATAGCACCAGTATCTGTATATCACCCAAACTTCACCAATCATGGGGAGAATGGTATATTCAGTTCCATCCATGGAGATTTGAGGCATTACCTGCTGTGAAACTTGACTTGGGGTGATTATTTCAAGAGCTTTTCTTGCGTAGAAAGTTCCACAACCAACGGGCATTCTCTTGACTTCCCATTCGCTGACGTCCATAGGGAAAGGAGTAGCCTTCAGCCTACCAATGTGTAGTTTAAACACTGCCTCTTGATTCAATGCATGAGTAAATGTGATCTTCTGAATCTTACCGTAGTACAGAGGCAAATCATCATAGCCACTGCAGAATGACCAAATCTGCCCGGTCTGAAAAACCTTCCCCTTGCTAACAAAGTAGATGTCTTGGCGTTTAGGCTTACTATAACTCTCTGAAGGCACCATAATCTCTTGGATTGTTTTCGGTAAGGCAGCTTGGTCCAGCTCGTAAGCATCTCTTGGCACACCTTCAATTCCAGTCAATTTGAAGGAAGGAACACTGTGGGAGAATCGATATAAACTGTGAGGTGAAATGCGAGCATGACCAGTTCCCATTCGAAAGAAGACACTTGCAAACCCTTTTGCTTTATGCAAGAATGCAACAGATACACCAGCTTTCTCAGCGTAATCAGACAAAATCTCAACAAACTCATACTCGTAACTGCGGTGACAAGCTGGCTCTGAAGACCAGTTGATATCCCAGTTCTTGAATAGAGCCCAAATCTCGCCTTTTCTAGGTGAAACAGTGAGATGGCCAGTGTTGCTTCCTTCCATGCAGTGTATAACATGTGAGAATATGGAACAGTCTTTTGTGTTGTGATGTTTGCCAAGCTTGAACTGACCAGCAGAAACAGGTAAGTCTTCTTCGAGCCATTGGATCTGTTTCTCATCATCTGGATCTGGCTAAGTATGTGATCCTAAGCTCAAAGGAAGGAGCTGAAACTTTACGAATCCGAGCATACAATCTAGGCATCTCATCCACTCTATCATCATAAAGAGCCCACGTCTGACCAACCGCAAAATTTGCATATTCCCTCAGCTTCTCAAAGTCATTAAACCTCAGACCATCATATCCAGTATTGCGACTTTCACCATCCTCATTCCTCTTTCTCTTCTCACCAACACTAACAGCACAGCTCAAAACAAGCAATTCCTCAATATCAGGTTCATAGACTTCTTGCCAAGTTCCATGTAGCTCTTTTGTCACCCTCGAAGTAGTAACTTGGTGCGAGAATCTGAGCATTTCACATTTTGGGATTGTGAATCTCACGTCTGCACCATCAATCCAATGCTCTGTAGCAGTCACATACACCGAACCAAACCCTGCAGAATCGGCTGATTTAAAACCACCATCAGGCGCCAACAGCAGAACCTTGTAGTCCACTTTATCATCAAGAACTTCCACAAGATCATAAGTCTGGGACTTCAGATCAACGACTTCAAGGTCACTACTCCAGTTTCTGTATATTGCCCAAACTTCACCAGTCTTGGGCAAGATGCTGTAGTCACTCCCATCTCCTGAGGATTCTAGGCTTATTTGACGTGAAAACACATCAAGATCAATGAATATCTCCAGAACTTTTCTTGCCCTGAAATTTCCACATCCGATGGGCATTTCCTTGTCACTCCACTGGATGACGCCTTTGTTAAGTCTAGCCTTTAGCCGACCTATATGCAACTTAACCACCGGATCCTGCTCAAACGCCTGAACAAACGTGATCTTCTGAATCTTTCCATAGTGCCGGGGCAAGTTATCATCACCACTGCAAAATGACCAGACTTGGCCTGTTTGAAAAGTTATTCCTTTACTAGCAAAGTAAACACATTGCATATGTGTATTACTATTATTATCCTCCTCAGGGTTTGACGCTGTAGAACTAGGCTCTTCTAGTAGATAATGTAAAGGGACGTCAATCTCGTTGATGCTTTCTGGTAGTGCTGCGGGATCCAGCTCATAAGCACCTCGAGGCACACCTTCTGCTTCTATTCCAGTCGTCTTAAATGATGGAACACGATGCGAGAATTGTTCTGTACAGCCACGCAGAATGCAAGTCTTATCAACTTCCTTGTTAAAGCGACAAAACACACCTGAAAAACCTTTTGCTTTGTGCAAGAATCCAATAGGTACTCTAGGATGATTAGGATCAGCATCTTCTGATAAGATTTCGACGAATGCATAGTTATATTTACAGTGTGAATCAGGATGTGCTGACCAGTCAACGTCCCGTAACGAGTAGGGGAACAAGTGACCCTTGAAGATAGCCCACGTCTCTCCTTCTTTTGGGTATACATTGAAAGTTCCTGCGCTACTCCCTTCACTGCACTGAACCAGATGAGAGAACCTTCCACGATCTTTTATATCCTCGTTTTTCCCGAGTTTGAACCTACCACAGAAACAGGCAACCCTTCTTGATAACTCTGTATTTTCTCCTTGGAATCTGGATCAGGCTCAAGCCATTTGACACTAAGACAGAAACCAGGAACTGAAACTTTTGTGATCTGAGCATACAGTCTAGGCATCCCATCCACCTTATCATCATAAAGAGCCCATGTCTGTCCAACCTCAAAGTTTACTTCTTCCCTCAGCATATCAAAATCATTAAAAGTAGAATCCTGCTTTTCTATCTCTGGTTCTTCCCACGATTCCTCCAAAGAACCTTTAAGACTTATATTGCTTTGTACATCAAAAGCATGTCGCTTGCTAAACACAGACCTCTGAGACTTCTCTGCTCCACCAAAACCAAAATCTTTAATAGCCTTAGTGTCACCAACTATAATAACATCTTCTTCAGTCTCGCTGCTTTTTCCAGTTCCTCTTTCTCGACTCACCAATCCTTCCCTCTTTCTCTTCTCCCCAGTGTTTGTGGAAGAAGAGCATGTCTGATTGTGATGAGCAGCAAGCTCTGGAGCACCATCAATGTTAGTCTTCTCCATCACAGATTTAGCCATGAGTGTCTCCTCAATTATGATCTCAGCTTGATTAGGTTTCAGGCCTTCTCATTAACAACAATGAAAACAAATAGAGTAATCAAAAACCAAGCAAACGTCAAGGAATATATTCAAAATCCAACGCATCAGATAAAATTCTAAAACCCCAAAAAAAACCCGAGCGATGTGAGAGAGCAATAACCAATACTAACAGAATCAGATACAGAGATTCAATCCAGGAAAGTGTAATAGACGACTGATTCGATCAGGGTTACGCAACATCGGAGACTAATCATATCGGAGACAAATCGAAATTAACGGCGGTGAGTTTCGCATCGCCGCAGAAGAAAGCGATTAAGGAGCTTACTCTCTCTATGAGTCCGACGTCGGAGAGAGCTGTGGCTGAAGGTTCCGTCGTCGTTGTCACTCTTTTACAGTTTTCGCCGCTCAGTTTTACCACTCTTCCCTTTTCACGGCGGTAAAAGCTCTATTCCCGATTCTTTTTTGGCGGGAAAATATGGGCCAAATAAAGCCCAGTTAATTGTTTTGATTTTGACGGAAAATTGCATAATAAACCTCGAAAGTGCCACTTAGTGACACTTTAAACCTTAAATTTTTTTAATTATCGCTTTAAACTTTCAAAATGACATTAGTATTATAAAAAACTTTCAACTTGGTTACTTGTTCACTAAAAAAAAATTGACATGTACAACATGTAAATAAATGTGATGATTTGATGTTTTTTTTTTCAAAAATAATTATAATTTAGTTAATAAAATAAATATAAATAAAAATAAATATGAAATCAGAAAACTAAAATAAAAATGAAGAAAATTAAATAAAAAATCTGAAAATAAAAAAAAAACTCAAAAATTTAAAAATTAAATAAAATTTCAAAAATAAATTAGATTAAATTAAAATAGAGAAACTTAAACGAAAATTCAGAAAATTAAACAAAAATTAAAGGAAAAGGCACAAATTAAAAAAATTGAAAATTGAAAATAGTTTTTTTTAGATTACAAGATCATTTTCAAAATAAATTTATGATTGTTGACAATAACAATCTCAAATATATCAAATGATGATGATAATGGTTTCTCGCATAACCATTAACAATGACATCTTGTCATATCTCTAACGATAATGTCAGAGACATCCCTCATAAACCGTCACTATTAATGGTTTTTAATGGCGATGTCAGAAACGTTTTTGGCATATCTTTAACGATAGTTTCATCGTCGACATATATCTAACAATAGTTTCCGACATCATCTTTAAAACCTTGACAATATCTACCATATTAAAAAACCTTGACATATCAAAGTTTAAAGTGTTAGTACACGCCAATTTCAAGGTTTTTTATGCAATTTTCCCAAAAGATAAAGAGGGAGATCACTCAACTCTACAACTGCGAAAAATAGTTAATACTACTTTTGAGATATAAATGTAATAAGAAAACACATCTAGTCATAAACAGTAGATACTTGCAGTTTATATCATAAATAAGAACACATTTAGTCACAAACAGCAAATACTTGCAGTTTACTTCTTTTTGTTCTTCGGTGGTATAGAACATTTATAGGCGCTGCATTAAACTCAATCATAAAAAGATCCATTAACTCCGCATATGTCTCTTTGGTCACACGCAACACATAAACCCTGTTCGAGAATCTGATCCTTTCCGACTTTGGGATCATAAATATCGGTTCCAACCCTTCATCCTCGTTATCCACATACTCCGTAGATCCCTTAAAATACCTATTATAACTCCCACCATCATCATCATCATGTAATGATTCTTGCTTCAGCAACTGAACCTTATAGTCCTCCAAGGTGTCATCAAGAACTCCAACAGTGTCATAAAGACCAAACTCCTAATCCTCAACATCATTGTAACAGCTCCAGTATCTGTATATCGCCCAAACTTCACCAACCTTTGGGAGAATAGTGTATTCAGTTCTATCCAATGAGTGAAAGTGATCTTCCATTGTAGTTTAAACACTGGCTCCTCCTTAAAGGCTTGAGTGAAAGTGATCTTCCGAATCATAGCGTAGTACAAAGGCAAATCATAGCCACTGTGAAATGACCAAACTTGACCGGTCTGAAATTTTTTTCCCTTGTTGACAAAGTAGATGTTTTGGTGTGTGGGCTTACTATTATTACTCTTTGAAGTAGGCACCATAATCTCTTGGATTGTTTTTGGTAACGCAGCTTGGTCGAGCTCGTAAGCATCTTTTGGTACACCTTTTCCTTCAGTTCCAGACAGTTTGAAGGAAAGAACCATGTGGGAGAACCGATACAAACTGTTGATACGAAATACTTCTGCATGATCAGTTCCCATTCGAAAGAAGACACCCTATTGCTTTATGCAAATATGAAACATAAACACAATTTCATCAGCGTAGTCTGACTGATGGCTGATATTCTCTCTTATGTTTCGGTGTTTGAATTATGTTCTTTTGTTTGGATTCCTTGTGAGAGAAACGTTCTTGCAGATGGTTTGGCAAAAGATGCATTGATTGTATCTGGTACTATGGTTGTTGGTGATGCTTTCATTGCTCCCTATGCGTGTTTCAATAAAAAAAAAAATATATATATATATATATATAATTTTGGAAGATTTGTATTGGTCATATAATATGTTTACGATTTTGCACATATTGTAAGTGAATATATATATTATTAAAACTGAAGTACAAATGAGAATTTTTTTTGAAACATTAACAGTAATATAAATGAAAACTGTTTGGAAACATAAATATCAATACAAAATAATACTTGCCTATTTTAAGTATTTTTTTTTACAGATTTCATTCTATTTTTAATTCAATTGTAACTACTTCATTTACTATCTTTACTAGATAAATTGACATTATTTATTACAGAAATACAATACAAAACTAATTTGTTTTCAATTTTATTTTATATTCATTTTCTCACCTTTTATTTACTTCATTAATTATATTTATTATAATATTTTGATAGCAATATTACATATTAATTATAATAATTCGAGATTGTTGAATGAAATTACTCTATTTGTGACGAGATTTGAAATGATTAACAATTTCTTTTTATTCTTTTACATAATCTGTTAGACATAGACATTCGAGTACATGTTCAGCTATGAGTTATTTCTTTTAGGTATCATGTCTTTTGAGTTTTGAAACTTATGCTTCATTCGGATATTATAAATTTTCATCTGGGTTTCGAAAGGAGTCTTCTCAAGTCAAGATGAATTCAGTTTTGATATATAGAAACTTACAAATATCCAATACCTAATGTATTTGAGGTCAGTTCGGATATTTGTACCAAAAGTAAAAATATTAACTGATTCAGTTCAGATATTTTGAATTCAAATTAGACTTAACCTAAAAATAACCAAATAATCAAAATTAACCTTATTATTCTATTTGATTTGGGTTTGAGTCTGGTGTATAGAAGAAACCTAACCATATTCAAATATTTATACAAGTAATTATATTATGACAAATAAAAAATACATAATACTAATTATGAAAACAAAATATCACTTTATTAAAAAAAGTAAAAATTATTATCCGCAGGGCCATGCGGGCCAATCTCTAGTTGAAAATGTTTAACTCGACGGACTCGACGAATGGTTCTTGGGCATTTGCTCGTCAAATAATCAGAAACAGTTGAATCCTAATGTTTCTAGTCCCAAGATGATTGTCAACGAGCCACCTTCTCTTGTATGATTCTTGAATTCGTTTTCTTTAGTTTTTTTTTCCGGATTGCAATTGTAGATAGTATGAACTTTAACCTCCATTCTAGGGTGCTGGACTTACAAATTTAGGCAACACTTGTTTTCTTAACTCAGTATTAGTGTTTGACTCACACGTACCGTCTTATTGCAATAAGTCTTTGTTCTTACGAACCTGAAGATCTTTGTATGCTAACTATTTTTTCTTTTGTGGGGTTTTTAAAATTTATTAGTTATATTATTGACCATTTTGATCTTAAGTTTGATTTTTTTTTTTGGTATTTTGTGGTATATTAGTAATTAGTTTAATTTTTGATACTGTGAATTTTGTGTGCAGTTATGTAGCCAAAAAAATATGCCTTGCATGCATAACTTAAGAAAGTTGAGAAGTTGAGAAGTTGAAAACCACGTAGAATGAAGAGAAGGATGAACGAGTTGGAATCTTCTTTATTGTTCTTATTTTGATTCAATATATAGAACATGTATTGTTGCAAACTGAATGCTAGTTTTTTAACGACTTTTGAATCCTTGATTCAAAGTAACGATTACTTTAATTAGTGTTTTGTGGCCTTTAGAGTTGTCAGTTTTTGCTGTGGATAATGCCTGCGAATATATTTTATTTTGATGTTTAATTTTCACTCTTAACTAGTTTTTTCTTTAGTGGGATTTTTAAACGTTATTAGTTATATTATTGATCATTTTGATATAAGTTTGATTTTTTGGGGGGGTATTTTCTGGTATATTAGTAATTAGTTTAACTTTTGATGTAGCAAAAAAAGTTAAGAAAGTTGGATGTGTTTATTGTCATTGTATATGATTATTGAAAAGGTTTAATTATCAAACAAAATTTAACTGATGTATGAGATCAATGTGTTTTATAATATGGTAGAGAGTATTTGAAAGAGATAACTGGTAGTTGTAATTTTTATATGAAAAGTTAGTCATCAAGATGTTGTAATAGAAGCATTAATCATAATATATAAACTTTTCTCATATGATGCTATAGTTAACACATACGTAGTTAACAACAATTAAATTGTGATCAAGACCGGCTCAACGCTGTTACAGCTTTAAATCAATTTTTTCCATCTTTTGCCTTTTAAATTTATTTAATTTTAAATATTTTTCAAAATTTAATCAGCTACATTTTGTATGTTTTGTGATGAAATCAAAATTATATATGTATATTATTTTGAGTAATTTTCAATTTTATTTATTAAATTTTAGTTTTTATGGATAAAAATATGAATTTATAATAAAAACTGGACTCCTCGATTATTAATATATGGGGGATACA